GAGAGAGAGCTCGAGAGAGAGAGCTCGAGAGAGAGAGCTCGAGAGAGAGAGAGCTCGAGAGAGAGAGAGCTCGAGAGAGAGAGAGCTCGAGAGAGAGAGAGCTCGAGAGAGAGAATGTGTGTGTGTTTGTGTGTGTGTGCGTGCGTGCGTGCGTGCGTGCGTGTGTGTGGGCGCGCGCGCGCGGGCGCGTGCGCGTGTGGTTTAAATTTGCGAGTTGGATTTGCCTATATGAATTGTCAAGTTTCCAGTGCTGTGGTTTTTAGGTGTGAAAGAATAAAGACAGGTTTGTTCTTATAAATTAACAAGATAAATGTTAAATGATTAAAATTAAAGATTTGGTTCACTGCTATTCAGTTCATAAAATAATGTTTAACAAATACTGTTATGATTATATTGAAAACTGTGTCATAGAAATTCGTACTTAATGAATTACTCTTGATTGTGATTATCTGAGATGAAATATTGTTTCTGGAAGATATCTGCTATTCCATTACACGTCCTGCAAAAACCAAATATATATTTTTATTTTTGTTATTTTTGAACTTGATATAATGTAAATGTGATTGTAGGTTAAAACGGTAAATACCTTGTCATTGTAATTGGTTTTTCCAGAGTGATGACAAACCTAAACCTACACCACGGTCCAAAATATCACCTGGTGGTGGTGGTGGTGGTGGAAGCAGCCAAAATAATGGATTTCCCGATCTTCCTGAACTGCCTGCTGTGCCTACTGACAGTTTTCCTCCAGGAGAAGATGCAGCAGGTGGTTCAAATGATGATATTGATTTTGATGATCTTACGAAACGCTTTGAAGAGCTCAAGAAGAGAAAGTAATTCTAGGAAAGTGTGACATTATTGAAAAGGAATATTTTTACTATTTCACTTGCGCAATGAGAGGTTTTCATGAACACTGAAATATATATATGTAAAAAGCAGATTTCAGATTATAAATATTTTTTCTTTGCGACAGTGCTTAATAGAATTTTGCATAATGATGCACTTACCATTGTAATTGTTGAAAGTGCAGTGAGAAGTAGTTTTGTTTGAAAGGCAATACTGTGATATCTCTTATTTTGGAAGAAATACCATATTTACCTGACTATAATATGAGAAATTTTCCAATTTATATCTTTCATAAAATAAATGGTAATCTTATATTCGTAATTAAGCTTAGCTGGTTAGGAATTGTATTTTTATGTTGTCTTTCCTAGTGACGAAACATAAATATTAAAATGAAATAAGCAGCAAAGATGGTGAAAATATCAAAAAATCTGTAATATATAATTATTAGAGCCTGGAAGTTTGGCAAAACGCCCATTTGTTATTGTTTCTAGTTTATGACTTTTGGCAATAGGAATCACTTAATAAGAAATAGGAATCTGGAGTTGTTTTAGTAGATTTTCATTTT